GCCCGGTATTCCTATAAAATTATCAAAATTTGACGAAATTTTTAAGCACTATTATCAAATTATGATATCTTCACATTAAAAAGTGAAAAAAAAAACTTTAACAATATTATTTGAACGATAATCACTGGAGTTGCTCTTAAAATGGAGGACACAATTGAGCAAGTTTCACTCCAAATATTTATTCTTGAAAAACGAGCATTTGTCGACAATCAGTGAAACTAACGTAATGTTTGGTTGAGAGATTTGAAGAAAGATTTGAAAAAGGAAAGAAAAAAAGTGTGTAAAACTAGATATTCACATTTCAACTATTTTTTTTATTTTTCTTTCTAAATTCTTTTTTTAAAATCTTTCAATCAAACACAGTATAACTGGGTAAATTGTTGAAGGACTTTCAAAAGGCGCAAAAAGTAGTGCATTGCAAGGGAAGGAAGGTACACAAAGCAAAAGTGAAATGTGTTGTACTTAAAAAAAAAATGAGGCATGTATCATCGGGGAAAATGTTTGGTAGCTCAAATTTTTGTGGCTCAAATGGCTCAAATCTGTTAAAACGACGTCGTTTTACACTCAAAATCTGTCAAAACGACGTCGTTTTGACAGATTTGAGCCATTTGAGCCACAAAAATTTGAGCTACCTAGCATTGTCGTATCATCGGACTGAGAGAGAGACAAAAGGCAGATGTGATTTTGTCCCGCTGAGCATCAACTACAGAGTGCTACTCTATTTTCATTACTTGGACTGAAGGGTCTCGTTATAGTAGTTTTGAGATTCGTTTTGGATCCGAAACTTTCAAATTTTAATGTTTGCAAAATACGTTATTTATTTAAAAAATTATTGGGTTTCATATTCATTTGTTTGAATTTTATTTATTTATTTTTTAAAAATAATAAATTATAGATGTACTTTTTAAAATTTATTTAAAATATTAATTATTTCATATAATTTTGAAAATTATGTTTCTCTTGTTTAAATTTTTAATTACATAAATTTCATTAATATTTTTATTGCCGGATAATAAGAAAAGTTTGTCTACCCATTACGAATATAAAAGCAAACGTAGGGTAGGGTGGGCCACTTAGCTCAGTTCATATTTTTATCGGCAAGTCTAAATTCCGAATAAATAAATTATAAAGTGAAACATGAATAGGAGATAACACGAGTGGGGTCTCAGGTGAGTCTTAGGGTAAGTTTGGAAAGACTAAATAAATATATTTTTTGACTTTTTTTGTATTATGTGTAGAAAAAATAGAGAGGAGATGTTGATTGATGTGATCGAAAAAAGATAAAAAGATGAAATAAGTGCACTTTTTTAGTTTAGCCAAATTTGACCTGACTTTTGTAGGTGTATCTTACGCTCTTATCTTACCTTTGTATTTTTTTTGATATTTTCTTTTTATTCTTAATATAGTTATATTTACAATTTTTTAAGATTATAATAATTGGATTGAACTGAAAGTTTAAACTCATTTATTTAATACGTGAGGTCAACCTAATTATTCATATATAATTAGAGATTGTTTGGGATGATCTATAAATAAGTGCATTTTTTGACTTTTTATGAAATATGGGTTGAGTTTAGGTTGGGTTTGAAGTGATGTGTTAGAGAGGTGATGTGACTTAAACAAGATGATGTGACTTAAATAAGATAGTGACTTTTTGACTTTTTATCTTTTTCAAGACATGCCAAACTTGGCCTTAGTTTTATTTATATTTAAAAGTAAAGAAAACATTTTTAAGAGGAAAAGTTCACCTACCAGTTTAAATTTGAGTATTTGTGATGGTTTTTTCAAACGGTCTCTAAAACTTATAATTAGTGACATTTTTTGTGATAATTTTTAAATTATCTCTGAAAATTAACAAATAATGCCTTTTTTTTAATAGTGTTTGATAAAAACATCATTAATTCTTATAGAACCTATTGAATAATAAGTCCATCTAATAAGATATACACATAAGTCTCGCTAAATGTTAAGTCTGAGGTTGAACCGGGTAGAGTAGAACGGAGCACTAGATTTTTTTTAGGAATAAATTACGAATCAGTTCTGTGTGAGTGATGGACTTAAATATCTAGAGGTCCTATACACTTTTTTAATAGATCAAGTCTTAAAATACTTATTTTTTAAAAATATATTTTTTAAATTATTGATAGGTGAAGAAATGAATAAAGACACTATAAATAAATAAATTTGATCAATAAATCAGCTCGTAACTCAATTTTTTTTAAAATAATATATTTATTCTAACATACGATAGTGCGATCCATCCCCCCATGATGAACAGCCGAACTTTTTAGAGTTTGGGCCGAGTAGAGAATAAAATCCTGTCTTTTTATCTTTTATCTTTTATATTTTATCTTTTTATTTTTTTAATTTTTTTTTACAGAAAAATCTTCTCACTCTCCCTCAGATCCAGGGTAACGCCTCTTGTAGAGATCACTAACGTGTCCTATTGTCCGTTCTGAGTTAACAGACTATAACTTGAAAACTTGCTCCAATCTCTCAAGATAAGTTCTACTTAAATCACGACTCACGTAACAGGAGAGTATTGAACTCATACCAAATGTTGTGATAGTAATAACTTAAAACTAACTTTCTAACCGACTGCACCACACCTAAAAGATTGACTTAAGGGATTTCAACACGAGACCTGGAATCTAACCCTCCCGGGTCCACGAACTCTCAGGAATTTGGAAAATTGTTGTCATGCGCGAATAACAAAAGATAATAAACAATATTGAACATGTTAAATTAACTAAAGGGAAAATTACCATGTAGTCCTATGTAGGGGATCTATTTCCCTTCTAATCCCAATTTATTTTTAATAGATCAATAGGTCCACAGTTTTTTAAGTTTTATACCCAGAGGTCCCGTTTTTTATTTTCGTATTTTTAAATGACTGTATTACCCTTTGTTTTGAGATCTATATATACGTGAAAAATCAAATTTTTGCTCCGTTTAAAAAAAGGAAATCAAATCTTCGTCTCTGCGATCTCGATTTCTCTTCGTTGTGGCGATCTCATTGTACTGTGTGGTCGATCTCATTGTGCTGTGAGGTGGATCTGGTTGTGCGATTTGAATCTCTGTGTACATGCGATATCTGCGTACGTTGTCTCTCTCTCTCTGGTGATAAATATATGTATGTGTATGTATGTATCTGTCAATACATAGATATACATATATATGTATATATATATATGTCTGTGTGTGTACGTGGTTTGTATTTGTCGATATATATGTATGCACATATAGATAAGCATATTTGCGTGATATGTGGTTTGTGTTTGGCGAATTTTGTTTGTTTGATTTTGATTTTGTTGATTTTGTTTGTCATATAGTGTAATGTGTTTTGAAGTTGTATTTTGGAATTGTGAATTCTGGTGTTTTGATACTGATATGTTGTAAGTGTATAATTTTACAATTTGGAATTGTAAATTGTGCACTGTTGGTATTGACATGTTGTAACTGTATAATTTTACAGTTTGGAATCTGTGAACAATTGTTTGTTGGTTTGTGATTTTGTAGTATGGAGCGGCGTTTCATGTTAATGTGCAAATACAGTAATTGTTGTGCTGCTATTAAGATTAGTGAGTGATGTAGTTATGATGAAGTTGTTGAGAAAATATGTGCGAAGTTCAAGGAGTTGAGTGTTGGTAACTTTTGTTTGTTTTTCTCTGTTCCTGGATATTCTAATTGTATTGTTGAATGTGATGATGATTTGGGGAATATGCTGTCAATGGTAGGTGGTAGTGGTTGTTATGTTGTTGATGTTATTGTGGGGGATAAGAGAGTTGTAGAGGTTGATGATGGTAATTCTTGTAGGATTGATTCTGTAACTTGCGAGAGTTCTTTTGGGAATGATTGTGATGATGTTGGTGGTTTGTTGCGTAGTTTTTATCCAGAACCAGAGAGAGTTTTGTTGTCTGCTAGTTCGAAGGGGATTATATATAGTGTTGGTCAAGAATTTGAAGGTGGAGTGCCGGGGTTCCGCATTGCATTGGCTAACTATGCAGTTGAGTGTGGTTTTGCAATGAATTATTTGAAGAACGATGCAACAAGGGTAACCGCTGAATGTATGATGAAGTTGTCTACGGGTTGTAAATGGTTTGTGCATGGAAGGGTGTTGATGGATTCTGGTGTTTTTTTTTATAATGAAGTTGGATAATGTGCATACTTGTGGGGTTGTTGCTCGTAGATCTTGTAGCAAAATGGTTGGTTCTAAACTTGTGTATGATATTGTGCAAAATGATATTAGTGATAATCCGTTGACTCGTCCTATTGAAGTTAAAAAAAAGTTGAAGAAGCAATATGGTATAGATGTTTCTTATCGGGTTGCATGGTTAGGAGTTGATAAGGCAAGAGGTGGGTTGTTTGGTGATTTTGCAACTTCTTTTGACCAGCTTCGATGGTACCTTGAGACAGCTATGAGAACGAATCCGGGAAGTGTGTATGAATTAGATGTGGATGAAAGTAGTGGGTGTTTTCGAAGGTTATTTGTGGCATTTCATGGATGTTTGTATGGCTTTCAATTTTGTCGTCCGTTGTTGTTTGTTGATGGTACATTTTTGAAGGGGCGTTACAAGGGGCATTTGCTTGCAGTAACATCAAAGGATGGTAATCAAGGTATGTATTTATTTGCAGTTAGTATTGGTTTAGTTTGTCAGTGTGTTATTGTATTGTGAGTCTGTTAATTTTTGCAGTTTCATGTAGTTTTGTTTGCAGATTTGTTTCCTTTGGCTTTTGCGATTGTTGACACTGAAAATCAAGATAATTGGATGTGGTTCTTAAGTCAGTTGTTGAAGGCTGTTGGTTCAGGCCGGAGATTGACTTTTGTGTCGGACCGTCAACATGGATTGCTAGACGCTCTTTCAGTGGTTTTCCCCAATGCACATCATTCTTATTGCTTGAATCATTTGAAGAGAAATTTGATTGACAAATTGGTGGGACTTCGTACTAACTATAAGCTGTGTTTGATGAAAATATTAGTTAAATGTGCTTATGCGCCAACGGTTGCTTCTTTCCAACATTATATGGAGAAATTGAGGCGTATTGCTGGGAATGGTAGAGTTGATAGTATGTTGGATGGTTTGCAAAATGATAAGTGGGCCAATGCATTTTTTAGAGGGAAACGATATGGTGAGATGTCATCTAATGCTGCCGAGTCTTACAATAATTGGATTGGTGGGGCCCGTGAGTTGCCTGTTACTTGTATGGTTGATATGATTAGGGTTCAAATTATGACTCAATTGTCGGATAGAAGAGCTGAATCTAGAAGATGGACTACGAAATTGTGTCCAGTTATGGAAAAGAAGTTGGTGGACTCTTTGGAGCTAGCTAAGTCTTGGGATGTGATTGTTGCTAGTGATACTGTGCTTGAGGTTCATTCTTCTATTTCTTTTTATGTTGATATTGGTAGACAGACTTGTTCTTGCCATGAATGGCAATTGAATAGTTTTCCTTGTTGTCATGCTGTGCATGCTTTGCGTAGTAGTTGTAGAGATGTGTATGGTTTTATTGATCCTTTTTTTCATGTAGATTGTTTTAGAGAGTCATACAAGGAATCTGTTTATCCAGTGCCTTCAAGTGAGAGATTTGACTTTGATGGTGCCAGTAGTTCGGTTATCAAACCTCCTATAACGAAGAAGCAGCCCGGGCGGAACAAGAAGAAGAGGATACCTTCTAGGGGTGAGAATGTGAAGCAAATCAAGTGTGGGAGGTGCATGAAATATGGGAATCACAATAAGAAGACGTGCAAGGCTGCTATTTGAGGCCACAATCTATTCTTTTGGATTTGTATTTGAATTTGAGGAATTATGATAATTAAAAATATGATACTTGGTATTATGGAAGTAATGAATAAAGTTGGTTGAATTGTTTTTTGTTTGTTGATGTGTTTTTTACTTATTGAAGTTGTTTTTTAACAGTTTGGTTTTGTTTTTTATTTTTATGAAATGCAGAGAAGGTTGTTGAAAATTTCTTATTGAAACAGTATAATATGGAAATGTAGTTCATATTTCATAGCGAGAAAACTGTATAACTTTGCAGTTTTAAGAATTATTAGAAACAACCTGATGAAACCGCATAATTTTGCAGTTTTAAAAATTATTAGAAACAAGCTGATGAAACTACAAAATTTTACAGTTTGAAGAATTATTAGAAACAACCTTTACTGTATGAAAATATATGCAACCACAAACAAGTAGACAAACAATCAGAAGAAGAACCACAATAATAATAACAAGAAGAAGAGCAACAACAACATCAATCATTTTCACCATAACCATAATAACCAGAAAAAGATCATTCCCAAAAGTATATAAAGTACTTGTCACATGTTAAAAAAGAAAAAGAAAAAAAAATAAAAAAAAGGTACAAAGATATGTTCCCTTGAATATTTGTATTGTCAAGAAGTTTGTTCATTGTTTCTATGGTTTGGTATGTTTTGTCAACATTTGATAGTGCTCGAGTTTCCAGGATCGGTTCTCATCATTGGGGAATTGATTGATGATTTGTGCTCGAAATTTGACCCACTCAGTTGGACGAAGTTTTTTCTGCACAGGTTGCTAGTAGAGATATTGGTTGATAACATTGCAGACGGCGATTGCACAATCATTCCTGCAGTGTTTGAGATGAAGTTAATTAGTTAGGTGAAACTGCAAAAATTAGCATATTGGAAGATTAGTTTATGGATTTTGTATCTTACGAGTGTGGGGTTTGTTGTGGGCATTCCTCAATTGATGCAATTACTGTCTCGCACTCTTGAGATGATAACACGTTTCCCTGTTTGCTGAGTAATGCTTTATTCCATCTCAGTTGATGTTGTTGCTACAAAATAGTTAGTGGGTGTTTTTGTTAGTTATAGTGATGAGTTGAGATGTTTGTAAAGGAATGGAACTAAGTATGAAATTTTATTTTAACTTACAATTTGCTTTGCAATTTCAAAGTGCTTGTTGTGGCAATCTTTTGCTTGTCTCAAAAAGTCATAGTGTCTCCATATCCCATCAGCATTGTCAAATACCACAATTGTCCAATGGTTGTCGTGGTTGATTGGGAAATGGATATATCTGTTTTTCATTGCTTCTGGAAAATGGCTGTCCATCAGTTTTTCTCTCAGTGCTTGATCTTGGTTTTGTAGTGGAGTCTGTAAGTTATATATATGTTTGAAATATGTTATAAAACTATGTAGTAATACATGTTGAGAAAGTAGAAAATTTTGCAGTTGTAAGGTATGTTAAGTTTTGCTTACATTGATGAGTGTTGAGAAAACGTAAGATTTTCCTGCATATGGATTGCTTGCAAAGACTAGATCGTTTTTCTCAAATTCTTCAATGGTTGGTTGGAGTGCCAATTGCTTTTCTGAGAAGGCATCAATGACTTGAAACATGTTATATATGAGAATGTGTTAGGTTTGTGGAAAATGTTATTGAATATGTACAGAAACTGTAAAATTGTGCAGTTGGAGACCTACATTCCCATATAAGGGTTCCCTGTTGGTCAATTTGCATATATCTGAAAAGTATACGCAGTTTTCATCTTCGCTGCCAGACCAGACACAAGCAGTTGATTGTGTGTTGTTGATGAGTTGAATTTGGTCTTGGTCTTTTTTGGATAGGCTATGCCAAACCTTGTTTGTTTTGCGGCATGAAATGGTGAGTGGCTTGTTTGGGATTGATTCTTCCTGGAAATCATCATCACTTTCCAATACTTGAAGTTTTGTCTTCTTTTGATTGACATGCTCTTTTGGGTTTGTTTCAACAGCAACTGCTTTCTCTTGGCCAATATGTTTTTGCATCTTTTCTTTCTGCTGTTGTTTTGCTTCATGAGCACCCTCTTTTTTGTTGTCATTCTTCTTCTCTTTTTCTTCATCGGTACCCTGTGTTGGTTTGGGTACATCAGCAGCAGTTTGTGTCTTGTTTCTTGCATCTTCTTTGGGTTTGGTCATTGGTTGGTATTCAAAATCTGGGTCATGTGCTTGTTTTCTTGATTTTTGTTTGATTCTCTTGACCATAGATCTTTGTTGGGGACTGCCAGTTTTTTTGGTGGACATTTCCTTCAATTGATCTTCTTTTTTACGGAATTTAGACATGAATTTTTGTTCTATTTTTTGCATTTGTGCTCTCATGGCTGATATGAGCTTGTCCTTGTCGTCCTCTTTGGTTGGTGTTTGTGGTTGGTCATGACCTATAAAAATGTTGGATTGTGTTTTGGTTAGTTTAATGAAATTTTGCAGTATGATTTAGTATTAGACAATAGTTTACCTTGTGCATGAAGTATGTCAGATTTCTCTTGCAGTTCTTCTTGTTGGTTTGTCAGTTCTTGTTCATTGACTTCTTCGTGTTGGTTTGTTTGTTGTTCTTCTTGTTCTGATTGTGATTCTGATTCTGAATGATGTTCTTCTTCGAGAAAATCATCCTCATCACTGTCTAGAAGTGTTCTTTTTTTTGTTGCTTTTGTTTTCTTCTTTTTCTTGTTGTTGTTGTTGTTGTTGTTGTTGTTGTTGTTGTTGTTCTTCTTCTTCTTCTTCTTCTTCTTCTTCTTCTTCTTCAGTTTCTTCTTAAGTTTCAGTTTCTTCTTTTTCTTCAGTTTCTTCTTCATCAGTTTTTTCTTCATCAGTCACTTGATTTTTTTCATCATCACTCTTTTCTTCTTGTTCATCACTTTCTGGTTCTTGTTGTGGTTTTTGCTTTCTTTTCTTTTTTTTTTTGTTGTGCTTCTTTTTCTGATTGTGATTTTGATTCTGAATGATGTTCTTCTTCGAGAAAGTCATCCTCATCACTGTCTAGAAGTGTTCTTTTTTTTGTTGCTTTTGTTTTCTTTTTTTGCTTATTGTCCTTTTTGTGGTCTTGTTTCTTTGCTGAAGAGTCTGTTGATGTGCTTTGATTGATATGCAATAACTGTATTTCTTGTTCAGTTGGGGTTAAAGCACTTTGGTTAACCTGCATTGGAACAATGTGGCATATATCAGTAATACTGTAAATTTGGTCAGTTTCATAAGATGAGTTGTACTGTGAGTAATGTGGGTTAAGTGTCGAAATATGTTTTTGAAACTGAAAAATGTTACAGTTTCATAACATGAGTGATGTTAAAGAAGTGTGTGCTTTGAAACTGAAAATTTTCACAGTTTCATAATATGATTTGTACTACAATGAATTTGAAAGGAGTGTTGAATAGGTTTGTGCTATGATAGTATAGCAGAGTTTGAATACCTTTTCAAAGTGAGCAAGGCTGATGTGTTTCCACTTGGAGTACATTTTGCCAAGGTTCCATTTCATAAACCTTGGGAAGCCTTCTTTGTTGGATGGTCGGAGGAGTTTACTGTGCTCATAGTACCAGTACTATAAAAAAAAAAGTTGAAATATGTTAGATAGTTAGAAATAGGTGGATGTCTGATATTTTTGTGGGAAGTAGTTGAGTAATGTGTTTACCAAGAGTAACATGACGCATCCAGTGACATGCCTTGGGTTGTTGTTTGCATTTGCCATTGAATTCATCAGTGTGTCTTTTATTTCCTCAACCCAATTGTACTTCTTGATGTTGTTGAGATTGTCAACATAGTTGAGGAAACTCCAACTGAGTGTATGGCCTGTTGTGGGCGTGAGAAGTTTTAAGCACAAGTAAAGGGTGATTACCCTTGCAAGATCTTGACGATCATTGGTTGATTTTCCTTTTTTTATTTGTTGAAACATTTTGGTCAAAGACTTTCCATCCAATCTCTTGACTGATTTGCATCTTCGTCTGTAAAATGGAAGCTCAAAATCCTTTGGTCTTGCATAGGATTTGGTGGTGATGCTGTCTTCTCCACAGTCGATACCAAAAATGAGCTTGACATCACTGCTTCTGAGTTTCATTTCCTTTTTGCCAAGTACAAATGATCTTTTTCTTTTGTTGTAGAGTGTTGTCATTTCTGCTACAATGGAATTGTAGCATCTGCACCAAGAGGCCTTCAGTTGTGTTGAGGAGAGAGCATTTATAAGGGGCCAAAAAGGGATTTTTTGCAGCTCTGTTTGTTGGGCTTTTGTGAATTTGACCCCCTTCAACAGTTTGATTACCGTTCCGATGTTGGAACGATAATTAAATTGTTGGACTCTCTTTGCAGGGACTGCTGCTTTTTTTTCTTTTGATGCCTTGGTTTTTCTTTTGGGAGTTGATTGGCTTTCTTGGAGCTTTCTTTTTTTGGTTGGAGGAGCTTCTTGGTTTTTTGTTGGCTTTCTTTTGTTTGTTTTTGTTGTGATTAGAGGTGTGGTTGGTGTTTGTTGGGTGGGTAGGGTCTGTGGTGTAGTTCTTGGGCTTTTTCTTGTAGGTGGTGTGGTTGTTTTGTGGGTTTTTTGGTGGGGTCTGTTGGGTTTGGTTGTTTTTTGGGTGTGGTGGTTTGGTTTTTTGTGGATGGGGAGATGGTGGTGGCATTTTAGTGGATACAGGAGATGGACTTTCAAAAGGGGAGATAGTTAAATCCCTGATTGGATTTGTGGGCATATGGGTTTGTTTCTTCCAATATCTTTCAATAGCTATTTCTAAAAAAATGAAAGTGACAGCAGGGTATGAGTAATATAGTGACAAAACTGTATAATTTTGAAGTTTTATATGCAATTTAATATGAAGTTATATGTATTTTGTTGGTAACAGTTACGAAACTGTATAATTTGATAGTTTGATTTGCACTTTATAATAAGTTAGCTATTTGTTTTGAGTAGTGGTTAAACTGTGTAATTTTGCAGTTTCATTTGCAGTTTGAATAAATTTAGATATGTTGCTTGTATAGTGATGAAATGAAACACTATGATGTTGTAGTTTTTATAAGGAAACAGTATGAACAATAGGAACAGCCCATTGTATTTTGTAAAAAGCAACAATAACAACCAGAAGATTAAAAATTCAAAAATAAGAATAAGAGAAGCCAATATTGAACAACAAGAATAAGAATAAGGTGTTGAATGTGTAAAAACGGGGATTTATGTGTAAAAACAGTGTTTAGAATGTTGAAAAACAGGAGACTATATATAAAAGAGGGTTTATACATTTGGAAGTATGTAAAATGTGTATATACGAAATATGAAAGAATGATGTACAAATGTGAATGAAAAATAATGAATAGGTGAAGAGCGATGTTACTTTTTTTCCCCATTTTTGTGAATCGGAAGTCAGGAACTATGAAATCTCTTCAGAGTGGTGATGGTTCTTCGTGTTGTTGAGAGTCGCCGATTGGAGAATATGAACGGCTTGGTGTTGTGTTGAAGATGAACGGTTTGGTTTTGTGGTTAGGGTAGGGTTTCAGAGGGAATGGAGTCGAACGGAGGAGAGATGGAGGATTGAGAATGCGATTTCGAGCGGCGGAGATGTAACAGTGTACTGATCAGACTGAGATGATTGTGGGTGATGAAGATGAATGGTTACGTTTTCTGGTTAGGGTTAGGGTTTCAGAGGGGATGGAGTTGAACGGAAGAGAGATGAAGGACTGAGGAGTCGATTTCGAGCGGCGGAGATGTGACAGTGTACTGATCGGACTGAGATGATGGGGACGTGAGAGATGGTTGCGCGCGTGTAAATTGGATGATATATTGTGGGTATTTTCGTCTTATTGTTAATTTGAGGACTTAATGAAGTATTAAATTTGTTTTGGGTCTAAATGGGGTATGATATGTTGGGCTTGGACCTTTGGGTCAGACGTCCTTAACTAAATATCCCCTCCCCCGGCCCACGAACTTTCAGGAATTTGGAAAATTGTTGTCCCAGCCCACGAACTTTTAGGTATTTGGAAAATTGTTGTCATGCGTGAACAACAAACCCCACCCCGGCGAACTTTCAGGAATTTAGGAATTTGGAAAATTGTTGTCATGCGTGAATAACAAAAGATAATAAACAATATTGAACATGTTCAATTAACTAAATATTATGATATTAATTTAAATGGATATTTGAATAAAGAGATTTATGCATAGATCTTAATAAATGGATTTATTGTCCAATAGATCTTATGGTAATTAATGACATTTTTGATCAAACACTATTAAAAAATTGTCACTAATTGTTAATTTTCAGTGACATTTTGAAAATGTTGTCACAAAAATATCACTAATTATATGTTTTAGCTACAATTTAAAAATAATAATTACAAAAAGTCACTAATTTTCAACTTTTGGTGATAATTTAAAAAATTCGTCACAGAAAAATGTCACTAATGTTAAATTTTAGCGACCATTTATAAAAATTGTGACAAAAAAATTACTAATTGCCAATTTTTAGCGACATGTAAAAAATCGTCATAAAAAATTATTTTTAATAATGATTTTACTATGATTTATTTTCAGTGGGACTTGATAGGAATTAAGTCAAATTATTAAAACCTATTAGTGGTTTACTTTTCAAATAATAGATTTAAGTGATTTCATTATGTTTATATAGATATACATAATGTGGGAGCCAGAAAAAAAAATATATATCTGGTTATTGGGGTTAACCCAAACAGGCCTACAATGGGTCCAGCCCAAATATATATCACACCCCCCCATTTATATAAAAGGGGGGCATCCCCAAAGAAATGTATGTGTGCGCTCTCCCTACACTACACACCAACACTGTTGATTTCCATAGCTCTATTCTTTCAATCAAAGAACTAACTTTTGCATCGGAGTGTCTCCGGCCGGCAACCCCGATTGGGTGGCACCGATCATGCTCATCTGTGCAGGTTTACCGGAGTAAAGTTCATTTATTCGTTAGATCTCTACAATCCATGTGAGAGGATACATCATGGCCTCACAATTGGCGCTGTCTGTGGAAAATAGCTAAAGAATTCAACGAAGAGAAGAATCAATACAGCAGCCAAGGTACTCGAACCAGTGAGCACTAAAGTTAACCATTCTCTTTCTTAAAAGGAGACTCACAGCTGGGTTTTTGGCTTCTTTCATTCTGATTATGCTTCTTGCTAAAGTTCAGGTATACATATATATATACACGTCTATGTACGTATTTATTTATGCTCACAGATTTGATCAAATCCTTGTTAAATATTAATAGTGCTTAGAAAGGTTGTCAAAACAAGATGAAGTTAGTTGCTTTTCTCTCTCTCTAAAAATGGGTTTCACACCTTTCTTGGTGCAACCATCTTTTCGGCGATTCAATAAAGTTGCTCGGCCAAATTCATGCATGATCTATCCATTTATTTATTTATTCTTTGTTTCTCAAACTTATCTTGAAGTTGATTCTTAACATGTACGCACGTGTACTTATGCTACAAAAAGTGGGTCTTCACTTTTTCTCTCTCTAGACTAAATTGACATAAACAAGGCCAAGAGTTATTATCATAAGTAATTTAAATTTTTTTACTTCATAATTTGTGAGAGTCTAAAGCAATCTATACTGTCATTTTTCATAATTTTACTTCATAAGTTTTTACTTTTTACTGAGGCAATCTATACGGCTCATGTTGCCCAAATAATTTTTAGTGTTATCTAAAGGAGGTTTGAAAGCTCTATCATCGGCCTCATGCACAGGCCTCATGCACAGACAGTTCGATACTTCATGCATAGAGACCGACACCACCAAGCTCGGCATTGTACCTTAGTATAGCACCAGCCCCTCGGTTTCATTGCTCGGTGGTTTAGTTCGGCATCAAAACTAACCATCTTGGCCAAAGCCAAGCTATTCCTCGGCACCATCGCCGAAATTGGCAATCCAACAAGGTTGTTCAGTAGCTCTTCTACCCTTCTCGACATCATTATGCTTACCCAAGATGCCCACTACGCTCACCCAAAAGATTATTAACCAACTAACATTATTCCGTATTACTCGACTGTAGAGCAACATTATTCGGCCACAAGACTACTCGGCCGCCCATACGTCATACACAGCGTCGGACAATCCCGCCCATTATCTACGTTATTCAGCTCACAACATTATATGTCCACTTATTCGGCAACATAATTCATTGGTATTATGAACGCTGTATGCATATGATCAACTCGGCTTATTTGGCTTCGGCAACTTATTCGACAAAAATTACACCGCAACCTCGACACATTCTTTGACAATAGTTTACAATATTATTTCGCAGCAATATTCGGCAATGTTGTAACTTATTCGGCACTAATATCTCAGCATATATAGAACTAGCATCTCAACTTGCCGAAATCCACATTTGAACATACCACAGGATTCGTATCGGCTCAAAGAGTCCAAACCCACCAACCCGAGGAGCCAAGAAGCAACTTAAGTCTGCCGAAAGTTGTGAAACGGATCACACGTGCCGAAAATTGAAATTTCAAAGCTGTCAAACTCAAGTTTTGACCATACTAATGTGAAGTACTCATTGAGATGAGTTCAACGCAACAAATCGCGTCAAAATTGGAGCTAAAACAACGCCGTACAGGCTGATCAAAGTTTGCCCAGAATCGACGAATTTGCTGAGGACGACAAACCAACAAGCCATGCAAGAGAAGTTATCCGATGTTTTGCGGCGCACAATTCTCAACTGATCTAAGCCATCAGCTCTATTTTGGCTAC